TTGTATTGTTTTGCTATAATGCAGTGGTTTCATATGGTTTAGGGACCACTGTGATTTTGCAGTGGTGTTGTCGATGCTTCGTGGTACTAGTTACATAGATTTTTTTTAATGGCAAATCTCAAGAGATTGTCAAATCTCACAAGATTTTGACATTCTCTTTCATAATTTTGCAATATTTTAAACTAAGCATCAAATCTCATGAATTTCAGATATTTTACTGAAAAAATATTTAATTTTAGTGAAACTGTTTTAAGGAATTATAAGGCTCCACAAATTGAATAAATAAATGAATCTGGGGGCCCAGTGCAACACTTGTTTTGGAAATCTATGATACCCACACTGGAGGTAAATTTGTGCAAACTGAGGTGTTAAAACTATATATTCAAAACTGAATATCAACAAAATCTAAATAAAACCTAAGAATCAACAAAACCTAAACTAAAATTAAAGATATATCTAAAAGAATAACTTTATTGTCACTTTGAATGTACACTAATCAGCATACATTAAAATTAATTTTTGTTGCATACAGCTCTCAAAGGGTCACCATCTCCAATATGCACTACATAAATATGACAAATAAATACAGAATTATGCATATACACACATATATGACACAGAGAAACAACAGTCTAGTTCAGGTTATGTATACATGTGCATGGCAAGAAAAACGAATCTTGTGAGTTTACCAGACAGATATCATAGGGAACAAAGCTATTACAGAATTGGGTAGTCCCAAAGGGGAGCAACAGAAACAGAGCGTAAAGTGGGTGTGTGGGGTCTTTAACAATGCTTTGAGCTCTAAGCACATAGGGCTTATAAGCAGCATCCTGAATACCAGGAAGCGAGCTTCCTATGATCTTCTCGGCTGTCCTTACCATTCTCTGTATGGACTTTCTATCTGAAGCACTGCTGCCACCAAACCAGACAGTGATGCAGTTTGTTAAAATGCTTTCAATCGTGCCTCTGTAAAAAGTGGCCAGGACAGAAGGAGAGAGATGTGCTCTCCTCATCCAATGCAGGAAATGCAGACGCTGATTTGCATGCTTCACTAAGGATGACGTGTGGAGAGACCAATTCAGATTGTTAGTTATCTGCATCCCCAGATACTTAATACTGCTGACCACCTCTACATCTGCATCCTTCATACTGAGTGGAATATGACTATGCCAGCTCTTTCTAAAATCTACAATGATCTCCTTTGTTTTATCAACATTTAGAATCAGGTTATTTTTATTGCACCAGTCCACCAGAGCCTTCACCTCTTCCCTATAAGCATCTTCATTGTCATCCCAGATAAGACCCACCACTGCGGTGTCATCTGCATACTTCACAATATGATTCGTAGCAGATTTGGCACAGCAGTCGTGGGTCATCAAGGTGAACAGTAGCGGACTCAGGACAAAGCCCTGTGTAGAACCTGTACTCAAGGAGATGGAATTGGAAACTTTCTTTCCAACTCGCACAACCTGGGGCCTAACAATAAGACCTGGGCCTATCAATAAAGGAAACATTACATACAAATCAGAGATGCTATTTATCTGATTACCATTATTTAATCCTTTTATCTCCCAACAAAAATTGCAGTCCTTTTTGTTTATCCATACTTAGAGTATGTGTATCTGTGCTTATGCATGTTTGGACTGCGCATTACAAAATGCAGAACATGCAGGCATCCAGAATTTTAGTGAATACATACTGTACAAGTCACATGCGGGTTTTCATAAAAGTCACTGATTTTTATTTCATTCTAACAACAGGGCATAAGTATACTACACATAATTTTGTTGATTGGATTTCTTAATTCCTTCTGAAATTTTGAACTATCAATTTGCCATGCTAATAACTGTTCTAGTCCACCAAAATGATGTGGGCAAAATGATAAAATGTGTATCATTGTTCTGTCCCAGCCTACGTACGTCCTTGTTACTTCACAAAGGCAACCCCTCTTTTAACAGTAGACTGGAAAATAAACCCTTTTTATTTGAGTTACAGACCTGATAATTGTCCCAGAAAACAAAAGCAGCAGAACACTTTTCCAATGGAGACCTTGTCCAAAAGCAAAATGAAGCACGAGTCAAACAGGAAATAACTCACAGGCAAAATAAACAGACCATGATCTCTTGACACTGAAGTTCTTTGCAAATGGTTGCCTTCAGCAACCAGCCCTGCCCACACATTCCCTTTTTGTTACGCAGTCCCCAAGGCATGGCTTTTCACTGCTTTCTCCTCCTCCTCTGGAGTCACCCCATTGCCTCCCTCTGTCCTACTCGTGTGACCTGTCTATGTTTACCAGCGTCTCTGAGGTCTTCCAGCTGTGCTACCTCTGAGTTCGACTCAGCTTCCCAGCACAGCTGTCTCTCAGCTTGATCACTAGTGGAAGGAACAGCCTCTTCATTAGTTTGTAAGTCCTGCAGCTCATCAGAGCCTCCCTCCGACTCTGATGGCTCTCCAGGCCCCTCCTCCTCCTCTGATTCCCCAGACTCAACTACCGGGATCACAGGCTGGCACGGAATCACAACAATCATTAGCAAATAGTTATTTGATGTAAGAATTTCTTCTATCCTATAATCTTTATCAATAGCTTTTTTCCTAATATCACTTTAAAGTTAAAATAATAATAATATGGAAAAGTTTTGCTTAGCCACAATGACTCATACAGTATTGTCACAATCTATTGTCCAAATTACTATAATTTTTGCCAGGAAACTGAATCTATTACAAAGTGCAGCAGGTTTGCTGGTAATGCGTACATTACGTACAATGCGTACAAATCCATCACACTATTTCTTTTTGCATAAGCAAGATCCTGCAAGTCGGAGTAAAGCTTAACTCTAAGAAGACTTTATTTTTATTTTTAGACTACTACAACCTATTAGAAATGTCTGAACATGGACTTGCAATTTATATATACATGCATATCTGTAATGCAGTATAACCTTGGATTAGCTTGCCAGTTGCCAAGCACTTGAATTTTGATCACGTGACCATGGGGATGCTGCAATGGTCATAAATGTAAAAAACAGTCATGTGTCACTTTTTTCAGTGCTGTTGTAACTATGAATGGTCACTAAATGAATGTTTGTAAGTTGAGGACTACCTATATATGTAAGCTGCTTAGTATAGAGTTAACTTAGGAAAAGTGAATAGGCTTGAATTATAGAATACATAGAGTTGAAATTTAAAATGGCAAAATGGAAGGAGAAACATGGAAATGGTAGAAACGTGTATTAAACCATCCTTTCAAACCACTTCAGTATGTGGAAGAAAGAGTTGGATGTTGTGGGAAGTCAGCCCCCCCCCCAGAGAAGGAAATATTAAAAGGGCAGACTATTATATTTTCTCAAAGGATCTTAAAGAGGCAGAAAAGCATGCCCAGTTTTTCTTAATAACCCCAAGTCTCCCTCCCCCAAGCATAAACCAGCTCTGTAGAAATGCAAATGTAATAATCCATTCAGGAAGGTTGGAGCCTTCCAGTTAGAAACTTAGGAAGACAAAGACACCTAAAATCTACATACCCCACTCAACTCTAAGACTGGACATAATAGGATTAACCCAAAGATGCCAAAAGGGCACACTCAGACTCAGACTCAGAGTACATGACACAGGAAATACAAAGCCTCAAACAGGAACAGGAAACAACTCCTAACAAAAGCCCAAGAGCAGGCATGTCAAACTGCCAGCCGTGGACCAGATGCGTCACGCCAAAACCACACCCACCCCATTTCCGGCAATGGGGAAAAAGTCGTGATACGTTGTGCTACGTCACATGACGTTGCGAGTTTGACATGCCTGCCTGAGAAGGTATAAAAACCCACTCCCTACTACATGTGCTCACTTTTTTCTTCCAGAGCCATCTTTCTGTCTGGCTCTCCTCTTCAATAAACTACAACCTTCTTTATAAAGCAGTCGCCATGTTGTTTATTCCTAGCTTGGACTGGACCCTGATGAAGACTTTTCCTTCAACAATGTGTTAATGGGAATGACTATGGAATGTACATGGTAAAACTAGAGGAAATATGATCAAGATTGAAAAGATGCTGAATAAGTATGGACTGAAAAAGGCCAGAATAAAAGAAACAAGCTAAAGTTGTTTGGTCATTATAATCTATAAGAACCAAATTTAAAATAAACAAATATATGAATGAAGAAACAATAGGTCAAGAGAAAGGGGAAGAGTGAAAAAGTTATGGTTGGATGGAGTTGGTGAAATGGGGAAGAAGAATTGAAAAGTACTAAAAACGTATATTGAACAGCAGTGGTATAAAGTCGGTTTTGCTTTCTTTCTGTTTCTTACTGCCTTAATATCTTTGACTTACTATTATTCCTGTTGTGTACTTTGTATAACACCTGATGATGTATGTCTTAGCATTTTGCATCAACTATATTACATAAAACCATCAGCAATAAGATTAAAATATCTGTATTGCAAAATGCCAGATAGCAACCAAGAGTTAGGAAACATTTTAATGCTAACCATTTGATGCAGTTTCTGACTCTTGAATGCTGCACCGAGAATACAGAGAACAGCTCAACAATAAAATGACGACCGAATTCTGCGCGGGTTTATTCAAGAAGTCCCCTTCTTCTCCGGGAGGAGAAGCACCTTATATTCAACAGGGTTTACGCTCTAGTAGTATGGCAGGGGACGATGCTCTTAAAACATTGCCGATTCCACGTTGTTTCAAAATGCGGAAAATGGCAGACGTTTTTTCTGTTCAGCCGGCTACCTCAGTTAGGGCATAAGGAACTGTACCTTTCCATATCTAATTTCTTCCCGCTTCCCCTTTTGGGAAGGAAGGAAGGAAGGAAGCGCCAAGAGCGAGCCGGGAGGATGAGTCTGGGACTGCTCCACCCCTCCAGGAGCAGGAAGGGGAGGCCGACTGACCCAGCTAGCAATGCATTGGCAGTGACGCCTGTTTAGGCGAGGAAGGCTTTGCTGCTGAAGCAAGCAAAGAGGCACCCAAGATGGCCTCTGCTGCAGGAGCAGCCGTGGCAGCAGCAGCAGCAGAGGGCCAAAGGCTGGGGCAGGAGGCCGCGGTCGGCCGGCTCTTGATGCTGGTGAAGGAGGAGGTAGGCGCGACGGCCATGGCCGTAGTCCGCAGCTGAGAGGAGCTGCTGCCGCCGTCGTGAGGTGAGCCCTCCTCGGGTCGGGAGACAATAGGGCGGAGGCTGCGGCCTCCTCCTTTTTTCTCGAGGAAGGAAGGAGGAAAGAAAGAGAGAAACGGCGATGCCTGTTTTTCTGTGAAGGAAACTCGGCTTTCTAATGCGCCTGAGAGACGAGCTATATTTCTCCATTCTGCATCTTCCCTCCTCCATTTTTTCTTTCCTTTATCTGGGTCTGTAGGCCTCAGGCTTCCGCCGTTCTCAATTTCTGTCATTCGCCGCTCCGGTGCCTTCGAAGCCGAGCAGGGGAAACTGTCCGGTGCTGGAAGCCTTGGGAGGGGAATGTTTTTGCACGTTTCTTTGTATTCTGGGCCGGAGGATGATCGAAACAGATTCTTTAGGACAGCACTATATTTTTTATATTATTACGTTGATAATCCTGACCAAGTTTGCTTGGGCGTTCACCTCATGGACCTAAGCGAGAACTGCTGCTGCCATAAATCAATTCCTTGCCTCCCTTTTCAGAAATGCAACATTACCTACGATTAGTAGGATTTATTCCTAGGATATACGTGCTAGGTTGAAGCCTAACTAAAACTTGAACATAGGATCTCACTGCATGTGTCAAGTTCCGTGCTTGGAACTAGGAGTAGCCCCTGTTACAAGAGTCAGATTTATACCTGTACAATTTGTCATTTTGTGTACTATATATAATTCATTGCTGTAGGTTGATTCGTTCCTCCATCAATCCTATTTTCCAATTTTGTTTAGTTAGTACTACAAGGAAGAATGTGAATTCACCACTGTATATTTTAAAGTTCAAATAAAGATTAATTTTGATCCATTTTCTGCTTCTCCTAAGATCTGAAACTTAGTTTTGTTAATCAATTTGCAGTTTACTAAATTCTGTTTTCTTCCCCACATATTTTGAAGACACTCTGGTAGTTTGAGTTTGTGTAACCAGAAAAATAAATGATGAATAAAAGTGAAATGGAATTTTAAATCTCTGGGGAAGTGCTGCTTCTTTCTATTTACTAAATATGTGCTGTGGTTAAGAAAATAGAGCAAAAATATATTTGACTGGAAATGAGGAATCAGAAATGATTTAAATAGCCTACTGCTTTTACAGCAAAAACAATGTTCTTTTTAATGGGAAAGTAGCAGGAAATGACGTCTTGAGAATAGTTCACTTAAAATACTGTACATAATGTACAAAATTAAATCTGTTTTCTCTTTTTTCACTATCTTCTGAGAATGGGTTTAAATGAACATATTTGTTAAAAATCAATATATTCTTGTATGCTTGATTTTAAAAAAATCAAAGTCTTAAAGCTTAAGAGAGCTATATCAATTTTCCTTCCTTGTGAAAACTAAGTTTAAAAATATATATTTACTATAAAACAGGTCTATACAAATTTGGTTTGCTCTTAATTTTTCCCCATTTTTTAAATGTGACATATTTTTTGTCAAAATTTATATGGTCACTTCATATGAAGTGACTCTTATTTTATGAATTTGGCTGTCAAATAAAATGTTATCTATCAGTATATCATTGAACCCATAGAAATAGGCTATAAGGCGCAAACAGCTATTAATGATATTATAGAATGGAAAAAGAAGTCTCATTTCTGATTACATTAACAATTTAATTTAATTATGGATCATCTTAAAGTGTTTTCTGTGGGACCTTTAAATGTACAAAAGTTTCAGGACTACATCTGGTATAATTCCTGAATATTTATTTGTATTCTGCCTTTATTATTTTTACAAATAATTCAAGGCAGCAAACATATTCAACATAGCTTCTTCCTCCAATTTTCCCCACAACCACCCTTTGAGGTGGATTGGGTTGAGAGAGAGTGAATGGCCTAAAGTTACCCAGCTGTGTTTCATTGGGTAAGAGGGACATGAACTCACAAACTCCGGCTTTCTAGCCTGGTGCCTTAAACCACTAATTATTATTTACATAATCTAAATATTAGGATGCTATAAGATCCTTTCTAACATCTTTGGTTGGAGGTATGCTAACTCTAATTGTATATACATTTTACAAACAAATATACTAGAATTTTAATTTGAAAGGCAGACTAACCTTGATGGAAAGAAGCATCTCCTATAGCCAGTAATGTTTACACCAGGTACTAAACCAGGTACTACAAAGAATGGTCTCAAAAAGGGAAGGAGGTGTTGACATGCAACTGTTCTCAAGTATGTTCTTGGGTTCTGATCCAAAATACTGCTCAAAGCACTTTTCAACATTTTAGCTTCTAGTTATAAAGAAAACTCCACAAATCTAATGTGTATCATCTTATATGGATCTGTACATAATATTAGTCTTCCATTGTACAGTACAAGTTAACTACTAACTTGACAAGTAGTTATAATATGCAGGAAATTTTAGTTTAGGGAAAATAAGTTTTATAGAAGTCAATAAATCAAAAAGTGGTTGGAATAGTTTTACACACACACACACACACACACACACACACACACACACACACACGTTAAAAATCAGGAGTTCTTAGCCACAAAGCCAGCTGGGTGACCTTGGGCCAATTATCTCTCTCAGCCCTAGGAAGAAGGCAATAGCATACCACTTCTGAAATAATCTCAAGAAAACTGTAGAACCAGTGCAAGAAGTTGCCAGGAATCTATAGTAACCTGAAGGCACAAAATCATTTTAAAATGAGTTAAAGAGAGGTTATCAGCAAGATAACCATCTTGACACACATTTTATTTAAGAAATATTCAGTTGAAACTAGGTATTTCCTGAATCTTTTGACTCTGATTCTGCATAAACTTGATTTTTTCACTCCATTTTAAGACTTTATAGATGTAATTTTAAGAATTTCTATGTTATCTGTAGTTATATACAGTATTTACTGATTTAAGTGTATTGTTAGAGTTAGCAAAATCAAAACCAAACTTTGTCAGGATTTTGGGGGGGCTATATAATGCAATTTTTTAAGCTTTCTGTCTTCTTGCATTTAACTTTGCTTCTCATTGTCTTTTCAGTCTCCCTCTCTCAACTTCCTATCCAATAAAATGTGATATCACTGAGTTTATAATTATCATAATGACTAGCTTTCTTCCACTTACCAATTTATTAGGTTCATACACTGATCTTTTGAACTTCCTGTAAGCTTCTGAATTTCCTAGTAAAACATTCTATAAAGAAAAAAATATCCATTTTACCATTAAGAATGAAACACAAGATGGCTGAACAGGCAATTTACAGTGAGGAAAATTTGTCTTCATCAATTCTTTTCCTATCAATTGTTTATTTAAATGACCTTACTTTTACTCATCTTTCTAACTTAAAAACAAATAGTTATATGATTTGGCTGAAGGAATCTGCTCCAGATATAAGTAGATACATGCTTGTATTACAGTTAGTGCCATAGGGCAGTGATGGGGAAACTTTTAGAGACCGAGTGCCCAAACTGCAACCCAAAACCCACTTATGCATCGTCGGGTGCCGGGTGGGTGTGGCCCATTGGCTGGGCGTGGCTGCGGTGGTAATGCCAGACTGGGTGGGACTAAAAAGTTCAATCAATCAATTCCAACTATGCAAGATCTTTTTTTTTCCCCCGCAAGAAGTTGAAATTGACTGATTGAACCTTTTTTTTTTGTACATGGTGGCGGAGGCCTAAAGCGAAAAAGTTTTATAAAACCCAGCTGAAGGGCTAGGACTGGGGCAACGGCGTGCGTGCCCACAGAGAGGGCTCTGAATGCCGCCTCTGGCACCCGTGCCATAGGTTCACCACCACTGCAATAGGGGCAGGAAATATTTGAGAACTGAGCATAAGATTTCTTTGACCATGATACAAATTTTTAAGCAATGTCTCTTTACTTAATTGTGAGGGTCAGTGGATACCATATAAAAGTGTCACGGCTCTGTTGATTATTCTTCTATTAAGTTTGACATTAGGAAAAAATAGTCACTGATCCACATGTTTTTTATTATTATTACTGTTTGTGTCTCACAGCTACTTATACTTTACAACTAGATGGTCAATGCTCTAATTGCATAACTTTGCTTCTCAACTGCATAAAATGTTAATCTACCTGATAGAGAACATGGCTTAACTTCAAGTTTTCTAAAAAGGTATTTAACAATATGATTCTTAAGTTTTATGCACAATGTCAGTGTAACTCTAATGCAACTTAACATGATCACAAGAATCAAAATTCCTAATAATTAGCAATGTTACATTTTTCTTTAAAAAAAATCCCTGGTGCATTTCCTGTGAAGATCTGTTGTAATGATGGTTGCATCCATGCGTAAACCAAATTGCTTAGATTATTCTGGTTTGTTCTAAAGCAGTATTCTGAGTCTATGGCTCTTTCTCTGTAAGTGGCTTTAACTTGTTTGAATATAATCTTCCATGATTTAATACAGGCCTCTGATTCATTCCTCCCCAATTTGCCAGGCCTTCTAAGTCACTAGCCAATATTCTGGTTTATTTGGGAGCATTTGTCAGTACACTGCATGTACCTCCTAATTGATAGATATGGTCAACTATTACTTTGTTTGCAAGATTGTCTCTAGGGTTAAGTTTCCTAGCTTAATGTAGAATCGCATTAGCCTGATTCCGATAAAACTGGGGTTTGATTGCTCTTTTTACAAATTGGCCAACATGTGCCAAACTAACATTACTTTTCTTATCTTTATCAGGGAAAACTACATGCTGCATGCATATGACTATGGCTATGATTGTCCACTTCACTAAAAATGAGTATTATATATTAAAAATCATTATTTAAAAAAATAGGGTATAATAATGATGGGAAATAGAGCTCAGTCTATTATAAAACTTTTGTCAATGGTTATCAAAATGAGATAATGAAATTGAAATTCATTAAGATGATTGTTTTTTTCTTTTGATTAATTGATATGCTTTATAATTTTTGTTATCCTTGTTGACTACAGTTACTGATTATTATATTAGCCCTGTTGAAAACTTGTATCCGGACGATAGTTTGCTTGCTAAAGCTTGAAATGCCTGTGGGGGCAACCCCATTGTT